CTTATTTAAGCCTCTGTTACTCGTGCAGGTGATGACTGTGTATCCATACAGACTGGATGCTCAAATGTATACATACATAATGTGAACTGTGGGCCTGGACATGGAATCAGCATTGGAGGGCTAGGAAGGGACAACACAAAAGCCTGTGTGACAAACATTACTGTCCGAGATATCATGATGCACAACACCATGACCGGTGTCAGAATCAAGACATGGCAGGTAAACCCACCTTAATTCCTCAACTAATTGCCTCCTATATCTAAGCAACTCTTCTGTGTTGGGACTAAACTTATTAATAATTAACTACTTGAAATTGACAGATTCAAATCCAAATCCTCAGTTTAAGTTGATAGGATAACTAAATTTCGTCAAACAGAACTCACCCAAGTACTGAATGCTCTCATTTGGGAACTTAAAACAACTCTGAAAATCTGATCAAGAACTGTTACAGTTTTAAGCCACTTGGGACTAAGAAGTTTTGAGTTTCTTATTACAACTTCCAAGTTGTTGTCAGTGCTAGACCTTATTTCAATTTTGTCCTCCACAGGGTGGGTCTGGTTCTGTACAAGGAGTACTCTTCTCAAACATTCAGGTTTCTGAAGTTCAACTTCCCATTGTAATTGATCAATTCTACTGCGACAAGAGCACATGCAAGAACCAATCATCAGCAGTTGCACTGTCAGGCATCACCTATGAGAAAATAAAAGGGACATACACAGTAAAACCTGTACACTTTGCATGCAGCGATAGCTTACCATGCATAGACGTTACTCTATCCAACATAGAGCTACAACCAATTCAAGAACGTTATCACATGTATAACCCCTTCTGTTGGCAGACCTTTGGTGAGTTGAGTACTCCCACTGTCCCCCAAATTGACTGTCTGCAGATTGGCAAGCCATCAAGCAACCGGATTCAATCTGATTATGATTCTTGTTGAGCCAAGCGTAGGATATGACGGTGTTTTCATGTGCGGTTGTGAATTCCAACCCCTTTACACCATTTGTCGTTACTCACAAAGTATATATTTAGGTGACAAGTCTATGGTAATTCTTATCACTAGGAGACTACAGTGATTCCCATTTAGAGGGAGTATACAGGGCATTGTTATTTGCTAGACTTCTACAGTACAGAGCATAAAGCAGCTTCCTTGCTAGGGTGGATTTCACCATTATTTGATAGTATACAAATGTTATGTTTGCCAGATGTATAATATTTAGATTGCAACATATATTGGATTTCACCATCACTACAGAATATAGTAATAATACATGCCTGTTTTACTAAATTGATGAAAGGGTTGATGTGTTTTTCTTAATGAAGTTTTGTCTACTGATTGGAAGCCTGGCAGGATATGGCAAAGCATATCTTAATGTGCATGAAAACAATTTCTATAAAAATCCAGTAGTGCTTCTCAAGTCATTATTTGCCTTTTCTTTGAGAGCCCAAAAGAACAAAAATTGATGTTGAATGAACCCTACAAAATTCTGCTTTAGTCCTATGTATGCTAACCCGGGCTCTAAAAAGGCAAATTCTCCAACCATAATCACAAGATAATGGACTCAAGAAGATAGTGTTTGACTTAATACTAAGGATTTGGATCAGGATTGGTGGAGCTTTTATAAATAATCAAGGTTGCATTCGGATAGTAAAACATGATTGATAAGTCATGAGGGTTCTGTTAGGACTGAGTTTTAATGTTTACTGTAAAGAGTCGAGGCTGGGATGCTCCATTGGGTTCGGTAATCTTGTGGAGAAAAGGGACTCTAGTGTGGTGGTATGATGGATTGATGGATGCAAGGAGGCATTTCAGCATGCCACAAGGGAAGCTAGATCTCTGGCCAAAAGCATTATTGTTACTTTCAGATGGATCCAAAGATGGACCAATACCATGGCAAGCATTTTGGCTAGGGATGATGCAAATTGTAGGAGCTGTATTGGGGTCTAATCCCCCATCTTTGGGGTCTATGCTTTGTAACTTTCGAGATGTTATTTGTTGGGACCTGGGGAAAGAGTAGTTTAGTGCCAACCCATGTTATTGGTGTGCATATGCACCATCCTCTGTTAGAATGTCCTCAGTCAGTTATTGGGGATGGTTGGGGTGCAGCCCTTGTTACAGACTTGCAGTCTGCTAAGGACAACCGAATATAGATCCCAATAATGCAGAACCGATAAATTCAATGAACATTCCTTTATCTGCATAAGATATAGATAGCCTACATATGGAGTACTTCTTTCTTCAATGTCAAATCCCAAAACTCTCCAATATGATCTACAAATCAGCCTTTGCTTTTTCCTGCTTTGCGAGTTCTTTAATGTGATTCCTTGTGCATTATTGCTTGCTATTCATATGTAGCATATAGATTTTGCAGTGGCAAGGAGAAAAACTCATAATTGACTGAAATTTGCATAACCAAATTAGCAACATACAGGAAATATTTCTACATGGCACCTGATGAGGCTGTGCAACAGTGCAAGCTTGTACCCAAACTATGATCTTCTAAAACAACTAATTGTTTGCCTTCTTCTCTATGGATCAATCTTCTCAGGGCTTGGCAATCAACTCTTAGTTTCATACTTCTTTTCTTGGGCCTGTATAGATGGTATATCCAATACTAAAAATAAGTTATCTGTTTTATTAGAAATTCCAGAGCAGGAAAAAAAACAGTGAATTTACTAACTTTTTTCATCAGCAGCAAAATAAAAGGCATTTTAGTAAAAGTACAAGTGCAGGAAAAAACAAGTCCAGATTCCCCCTGAAAAAAAGAAAAGATAAAGAAAAGCAGGAGCTACCACAGATCCACAAGCGGCACCCCTGCACAAAAAAGGAGTACATGTAAGAAATATATAAACATAATCAACTTGATAATGGGAAGCTCAGTAATAAAAATGAGGACACTGAGAGCGACAGGGGGGACAGAGAAGATCCCAATTCCTTCTGTCCTTACTATACTGTCTGTTATAGAGTTGGCAGATACAGAAAACCCAATGGAATGAGGGGTTCACCCTTGAGATCAAAGATTTTGCCCTCTATAGCCTTATGAAATATGAATTAACGTCCAATTGACGCTATTGTAACTATGCGGAAGTCATCCTGAATGCAAGTAAATCCCCTTGTGGCTGACAGCCCATAGAAACTGATATGCTTAGTTCAATGAGAGACAAAATATCTGCTCTCGCATTGTCCTTGGATCTGTCTCGTTCTGATCAGTCTTGTGCTATCTTGAGAGGTTCCTCCAATCCCCTTGTTGGTCTTGATTACCCAAAGAGATCATCCATACTTTCCCTTCAATCTTCTGGGTTTTGCTTCATACTCTTTTATTAGGATGCGTTTACAAAGGAGTCTTAGCGGGGAAAATTGATTTTATTGCTTTTTAGAAGTCACAAAAAGTGATGTAAACAACATTTTGAATTGTTATGTTTGTCTCTTGAATTCTTTGTGGCAACCCGTTTCATAGTGGTTTGTGGTGGAACCTGATTCATATTCAGCATAGGTCCGAACCAAATTAGAAGAGTTATGTATTTTAGGGGGCGGGGTCTCTTGTATATTTAGTCTTTGTCTTGTGAGAGAAGAGTGAGACATTTGGGTGTATTTGAGGTTTAGGGTTTTCTGTGAGAGGGGTTGTGAGTGCACAATTCTACATTTCTTCTCATTGCTGATTACATAGTGTATTTCTGCTTGTTCTTCGCCATTAGACATAGGCTATAAATCGAACCACGTAAATCTGTGTGTTTTCTTTGCTTGTTTGTCTTTATCTATGTTTATCTTTTCATTTTAAATGTCATTCAAATCTGTTTTTCTTGGGTTTTCCGCAACATGGACAAGTAGCAAAAAAACTGCATTTGATCAAGCAGAAACAAGATACACGAATGCTCCATTGAAGAAGCTATTAAAAGAAACTTCATCCAAAAGCTAGTTTTTTTGTCTGAACGACAGTATATATGGGCTGTTTGAATTTACCAAACAGATCTTATGGGCTCTCTGTATGGGGCGCACCTCACAAAGAAAGAAGCTACGTGAAAGCCCGCCCAAACAATTACTTACGGCTTTTTTAAAACAAATATTAACAGTTTTTTCCCACTTATAAAAGTAATTTCCCAATAGCATAGGCTATTTAGCAAAAGTAATTTCCTAATAACACAAGTTATTTGGCAAACACAATCACCTTAAACAAAACAGGAAATTACCATTATGGATTCCACATTTTACATCGGCATAGGTTGAAAGTGGAACTTGTTTGATCTGATAGAAAATAAGTTGACGAAAATTTCTCAATCCTTCAGCTGTAGATACGCAAGGAATCTATGCATTTATAATTGTATAGATTACCAAAGTCTGTATTTTTGGATGGGTGATCAGTGACCACTAACGTGTTGCTCTTATGGTACGCATGTTATTTGTAGCAAATACTGTTTCCACTTTCTGCATTTTAATATTTGTTGAGGTAGGATGTATTCACAACAAAAGCTATCCCAACAACATTCCAACAATTATTGTGTTCGCATATCTCACCATGAAACTTGAATCCACCATGCCTATAATGTGTAAACATAGATCATGTTGGAAATATTTTTTTGTTTTGAACAGATCCAGCCCTTGGGGAAAACTTTAATGATTCACAGAATAATTATAGGAGTTTCAGAGACTATGTGCTCACAAACTATACGATTATATTTACAAGTGTAATATGCTAATTCATGAGCTCTTAGATTAAGGTCCTACTAATATTTTTTTTTTTATTCATATAATGTCAAAGTATTCCGTAAGGTTATAGGCTTCATCCTTGACGGGATCATAAAAACTATTTATAACATTCATAGAGTGAGAAAATACTGAAAGGGAACGAATCATCTTCCTAATTGCCTGCTTTAGTCCATATCCTACCTTATTTTAAAAATGCCATAATGGTGATTCATGATGTCCAACTTGCAAAAAATACACATCTATAAAATTACACAAAAATCTTTTAGTGGGCCATAGTAATCAAAGTTTTAAAAGGCTAAAGGCGTAATTGAGGCCTAATGGCCCAAAAAGGTGAGTATAAGCCTTTAGGCATTGTAAGGCGTAAGCTTCGAAGCTTAAGAATGAAATTAGTTAAAGCTTATAAATCAATAAAAATAACATATAATATACCAAAAGTTAGAATGATAGAAGACATAAATATCCATAAAATAAAAGTTTATTAGTAATAACTTTTGACATTTAATCATTAAATAAAATAATAACTAATCAATAACAATTATAAACATTTTACATTTCATGTTTCAAAATGCAAAACTCTCAAATAATTCAAATAAACAATTTAGAATAAAAGAAAAATATGAAGAATAATCCATATAATTGGATATTAAATTTATGGTCATTCAATAGTTTAGAAGAAAGAGAACAACTTAGTTAATTTGATCTATGCAAAAAAAAAGTCAATAAAAAATCCATTTGGAAAAGAAATGAAAAAAAAATAACAAACTTGAGATGCTATACTTAGAATAATTAAAAAAAAAATCCCACCTGGTATATCCAAGAGATAGTGAGAAACTAATTTGATTAGCCTTTTTTGCATTGAACTCTCCTAAAACACTAAGAGAATTTAATAGAACTTGATTTTCCTTACTGGTTTTTCATTTTATTCTTTTTATTTATTTGGCCCACAATTATTGAAATGCCTTTTCCATATATTTTGAATATAAAAATGCATAAGGTATATATATATATATTGCGTTAAATCACTAAATAATCATTGATACTTGAGGCTTATACCTTTTTATGCCTCAATCTACGCCTCATGCCTTGAAAAGGAGATTTTGTGGTTTTTGTAAAGGATAATTTTAGCTTTTCAAAATTTTGACAACTACATCATCACAATGTTTCAGGTTTCTTAGTTCATAGAGCACTAGAAGCCACTTCATCAAAGCCCTCCCAAACGGGATCGACTTCGATCAGGGCAAGCCCGTTCTCACACCCACCAGACAGCTTCGTTCAATCTTGCATCGTAAATATCTTCCATGAAATAAAGTACATAAACAAGGGGATATTCCCAATGTAAGGCTATAAAAACTGCTCGAATGAGCGTTGTCTTGACCGAAGTCGAATTCTTTCCAAACGGGCACTACTTCCCATCTTCCCCAACATTCGGCCGAGCCATTGGAGTCTTTCTTCGCCTGAGAGACTCAACACCGGAACAAAAGTGGGAAAATCCAGGAACGTAATTGCTCCTCACAGCATTTTGCAGCCGTGTATCGAAAACATCTCTCCATCAATGACATCATGTAAGTATGGGATGTTGTGAATGTGCGGATACAGAAGATTGGTGTGAGTAGTAAATCCGGACTTCCCATGAGCCCGTTTGACTAATCTGGGCTACTTCTGCAGGCCAAGCGAATGGAACGGCCCAAGCCCCTCTAACAAAGATAGTCTCGTTTGACTAATCTGGGCTTCTTCTTCAAAATGCGGGTCAAGGCCCTTTCATTCCTTAGTCAACGTTGGGGCGGTTCTGATGATGTATGGGTCTAATATAATTTTTACATTGTGGGTTTAATCTATGACGGGTCAATTAAGCAAATTCGGATTAGCGGAACGTTTTAATTATTCAGCGGGATGTGAAATTAATAATGAGGTTCCAGGTCATTTAATTAAATGTATGGCCCAATTAAGCTGAACAGGTAAAGCGTTCAGCTAAACCTTGGTCCAATTAAGCTGGCCACGTCACAATTTACATATAACAAGAGATTGAAAACATGATGAGGTGGCCAATTTTGATTGGGTCTGTCGTAGCCAAACTGAAATGCAGGGTGGAAGCTCAAGCAGCCAATCAATTCTGGGTGATTTCCTAGTTTATCAGAAATTTGGGCTATATTTTGTTCAATTCTCATTCTTTCTCATTCTTACACAAGATGAAATTCTAAAATGGAAAAGAATTGGTAAAAGTAGGCAGAATGAGAAAATATTGTTATAAACCAAACACTTTTTTCTTAAAAATGATTTTTTTTCAGACTAACAAGTGTCTTATGTTGCTCATTTTCATTCTTCTTCTTCAAAAAAAGTGTCGGTAATTACAAACCACCAGCCTAGGTCTCCAATAATCAATGTTCACCAATTGGCATAGATGTTTTGTAGAAATGCTTTCGTAAAAGTGCTTTTATAAAAGTACTTCCGTAAAAATGTTTTTATAAAAGTATTTTTGTAAAAGTGCTTTTATAAAAGTACTTTCATAAAAGTGCTTTTATACTTTCGTAAAGTGCTTTCATAAAAGTGCTTTTGTAAAGGTGTTTCTACAAAAGAACTTTCGTAAAAATGCTTCCATAAAAATGATCTTATAAAGTACTTTTGTAAAAGTGCTTTCGTAAAAATACTTCCATAAAAGTGATTTTATAAAAGTAATTTTGTAAATGTACTTGCATAAAAGTATTTCTATAAAAGTGCTTTTAGAGAAGTACTTTTATAAAAGTGCTTTTGTAAAAAGTACTTCTGCAAAAGTGATTTTATAAAAGTACTTTCATAAAAATACTTTTGTAAAAGTGMTYTTATAAAAGTACTTTTGTAAAAGTGCTTTCGTAAAAGTGCTTTCGTAAAAGTACTTCCATAAAAGTGCTTTTATAAAAGTACTTTTGTAAAAGTGTTTTCATAAAAGTATTTCTATAAAAGTGCTTTTATAGAAGTAATTTTATAAAAGTGCTTTTGTAAAAGTACTACAAAAGTGATTTTATAAAAGTACTTTCATAAAAATACTTTTGTAAAAGTGCTTTCATAAAAATACTTTCGTAAAAGTGCTTTTATAAAAGTACTTTCGTAAAAGTGTTTTTGTAAGAGTACTTCTGTAAAAATGCTTTTATAAAAGTATTTTCATAAAAGTGTTTTTGTAAAAGTACTTCCATAAAAGTGCTTTCGTAAAAATGTTTTCATAAAAGTGTTTTCATGTAAAAGTACTTTTATACAAGCGCTTTCGCAAAAGTAAGCATCTATGACATCAGTTTTATAGGTAAAGTTTCCTCAAAGAATGAAAAGAGCAAGATGGGGAATGATTATTTTCATGTTGTAGGCTAATCAATTTTTGTGCCATGGGACTGATTTTTCATTTTAAAAGGAATGTGGCCCTTGGCAAGAACTTTGTAACCAAACATTCTAATGTCATTCATTCATGCTTAGAATGAGTAAGAATTAAGAGAATGAGGCCCAAAGAAGTGAACCAAGATGTACCCCAATTAACATTTTAAGATTGGTCACCTATCTAAATTAATGAATTGCAGTTATGTAGTGATATCACACAGCACAGGTTAAGCGATTTGTCCAATCCCAGTGGTAGCCAAAGTTGTTGGGAAATGGGGTCACTGAAACTTGGAGGAGAAGCTATGAGGCGTGTTTGAAGACATTGTCTTTAAATAATTTTTGAAGAATCTTGGGCGAGAATATGCAACCAGTAAAGTTAGAGAGTTTTCAAAGAAACCTTTTGTGAGACAGTAGCAGATAGGATTGAGAGAGAGATAAAGTTATTTTCGAAATTGTGTGTACAAATGCTTGATTCACGCTCCTTAAATAATTTATGAAGAGTCATGGAACAGATGAAGGTGCTGGTTTAGAAAAGGCACTTTGAATGGTCAACTTAGCGTTAAAAGTTAAAGCCGCCATTTGTGAGCAACGCGGGTACAAGCAAAGTGCGCCTCTAAAGTGCCTCATTGCGCCGCACGCATGTGTGTGCACGTGTTACGTGGTAGCAAGTCTCCATAGTCTCCTCTTTATATCTGAGGAGAGTAAATCAATTCCTATTAAAAAAACCAAAACAATTATTGTAATTTTCCAATGTGGAACAAGTTAAAAGCTGGTTTTAGTAAGAGAAAAAGCTATTTCCCAAGACATGTGTATAGGTATATTTTTTAATGTAATTGACCAATCAAACCCATTGGATTTAATCTTTAATGAAATTAAAATCCAACAAGTGAACTAGAGTACGTACGTCTAATGAAAAAAAAATCAAAATTTTAATCCAACAGCTCTGATTTAATATTAAGGGGCCGTTTGATAAGTCTTTTTCGAAAGATATTTGGAAGTTTTGATAGTTAAAAGACAGTGAGTTTTTGAATCAAGATCTTAACAACGTGAATATTGTTTGGTTAAAGCATGTCTTTTTCTCGCATGAAGGCGAGTTGAAAAAAAAAAAAAAAACTCAAAAAGCTTCATTTGGAGCTTCTTGAAAATAGTCTAAAGCGGACTTTGTGCATCTTTTCAAAGCAATGCCTTTTGAAAGGTAGATTTCTTGCAAATCAAATAGAAAAAAGACCACTATGCGATATGTCAGGTTTCTAAATAACTGATAGACCGCATGAAAAAATGCACCAAACGGAGCATAGATGATCCATCCACTGAACAAACAACACAATACTAAATAAGTAAATATAGAGTTTTCCATGCAAACTCATGCATAATTTGATCATGCGGGTAAAATAAAAGGGTTAGATTGTGATATGGAAAAGAGATGTGGGAAAAATAACTGACTAATAAACTGAAATCACAAACGTGGGAGCAAATAATGTGTTATTTATCAAAATTCATGGATGGGTTTTGATTAGTAAAAACTCTTTCCATATCTTATCTTTTCTGCGTCATGGATTTTCCCAAAATAAAAATATCAAAGCGGTGGCATTCTCGTTATTTAAATAAAAATCCATGGATATTTTAGTACAAAAAATGGGGTTCATTGTTTTCCTATTTTATTTTTGGTGTTAAATATTTACTTGTTTTTTGTATTTTATTTTTGGTGTTAAATATTTACTTTTTTTGTATTTTATTTTTTTGCATTAAATATTTACTTGGTATTTTGTAATTAATTTACATTCAAAATTAGAAAAAAGTGGTTGATAACGTTTTTCTAGGATTGATTGATAACTAGATGCCACTAAACACTATGATGGTGTTCGGAAGCATGGGCACTTTTTGGGACCGATTTTCAAGAAAAAACGTCCATACTTCCAAGACATGTTTTTCACACAAACAAAAAAAAAAAAAAAACGCTTTGATTTTGTTTGGGAGTATTTCTGCCACGTAGGCAGTGAACAACACTAGGCTGTTTGGTAAGGTAATTTTCATTACCGTTTTTCAAGTATGTGTTGACAGGTAAGCACCACATAGGATACATATAATCGCCAATCAGTCAACCGTTAGGGGCAACGGTTCACCAATGCATAAAACGCCAAATTTGACATTTCATGCATCGGTGAATCCCGATTTACAAAGCATGCCCATAGTTCAAGCGTTTTTCAAAAAACACATGAACCAAACAATCATATATATGAGCGTTTATTGAAACAACTATGTGGATCCAAAGTGGCACCATTTTTCAGAAAAACGGCCACCAAACATCCCCTAACATCAGCGAAACAATGAATAAGCACTTAACCGTTAAAAAGACCAAGTTTTATCAATACTATACTTAAAGAATCAACATGATGATAAGGCAATGACATGGCACCGTTTACGGAAACCATACGAACCATCGAGCATGTTACATCCTAATTTTTTTTCGTTTTTTTAAATTTGGAGAATGCGAGAAAAGTTTTTTTTTTGAACGAAAAGACGGAAACACCCCAGGGCTGCTTTTGTCTTTTCACAAGGGTTGAACCACTTTTATCAAAAATACGATGTGCTCTAATCAATCTTCTTTTTGTATTTACCTTTGTCCTTTGTAAATCCTTTTATTTCTTAAACCATTTGCGCGTTTTTGTTAGTCTTCTCGCCGTCGCCGTCGCCGTCGCCCTCGCCAATTCGATCCATCTACACAGCTTCCGAGAGGTAAATCGATTTTGCTAGCTTTTGCCTATCTTCACATTAGTAAGCTTCTTATTCTCTTTGGTTTGCTGATCTCAAGGTATTGATTTATCGGAAAAATTTGAATTTGTTTTGAGTACTTCGTGCATGTTCAGATTACATTTACTAATAAGTGGTTTCAGATGACCTCTCTTCTGATTTGAGTTATTCGAAGTTGGATTCATGGTTCTTGTGATGGTTTTTTTGCGGTTGAAGGCTTAGATTTTGTTGTATTTTGTTAAAATGGGAAATTCCCGCATGATATCTGGAAATATTTTGGATCTGTTGGATGCATCTGGTTGTGTTGTTTTCTTCATCCAAGCGCGTTGGAACAGGATCTGAGTTCCTAATGGTGCTTAGTGAAGTCCTCTATCTTCTGTATAGTGACGGTTTTAGGGTTTTATTCCTCTTTCTTTCACTAGGATCAATCCTTCACCTTCAGATCGGTTTAGAATGAATCACATCTCCGTGGAAAATTTTGATTTACTGTATCATTTCGGCTTTCTTTGAGCTTTATCAGATTTGATTTGGGACTTTTAGCGGGACGTGTAAGGCCTCTTTGGTTTTTCTTTTGCATATATGTTCGGCATGGTGAAAATGGTTTGTAAGGTTTGTGAGTGATGTTATGATATCTGTTTATGTTTCATTGACTGATTTTATTTCCTTTTTCTTGCCTCAGCCTTAGAAGGGCCACACAGTCGCAAAGAGCATGGGGCTAACTTTCACGAAGCTATTCAGCCGGCTTTTTGCCAAGAAAGAGATGCGTATTCTGATGGTCGGTCTTGATGCTGCTGGTAAGACTACCATCTTATACAAGCTCAAGCTTGGCGAGATTGTCACGACAATTCCTACAATTGGTAAGTATTGATTACAGGATTGGAGCTAATTTTATTTTTTCTATTTATTTTCTGGTTTCGTTTCAAATTGATAAATTTTCAATTTGCCTGTATGATTTCGTCAATTTGTAGTTGCAGATGGCTTGCTTTTAGGTCATGTTTTTTTGCATGATTTTGTTGCCAGTCTTCTGTTGAAATGTGGATTCATTGATGTTTGTACAGATCTGGTTGTTGAACTGTGCTGATAAGGCCATTGTTATTTGTTAATAGTCAAAGTCTCTTCTACAATACATAATTTCCATTCTCTAGATGCATTTACAGAACCTGAATCTCACTGTTTTTCTTTTGAAGACTTCTTACAGATTATTTTTGGATGAGTAACAATCAAGGAATTTTATCAATATTTTTAAACAGAATTTACAAATTTACATGGTGAGAGGAATTGTTGTAGGCTACTAGGCTAGCATATGCTATCTACCCCAGCAATTCTTACATTAGGCTCCTCCTGGAACCTCCACCAAAATAGATTCCCTCTATTCACACCTTGTCTAGTTATGGTGTCAACCATGCTGTTTGCACACCTAAGATCCTACTGGAATGTGACCATTTTTTCAGCCGCTTATCTGATTTCCCTCTATGTACCCAGTGTTTTACTTCTTTACCATCCCACCACAACCTTGGAATCTCCTTCCACAGTTCCACTATGATGTATTTGTACTGAAATTCTTTCCCAGTGACAGGCCATGACTGTCCCATCTCCACGTCTAAAGATACTCCTTCAAAATCTGAACTCCCTGGGTTGCCATGGCTGCAGCCATCAAAATTCATCTTGACATGGGATTGGGCAAGCAACACCTAAAAGGTCCTTGCTTTAGGTTTAGTAGTAGGTGAGTTGGCAATATCTTGCCAATTTGGCATCATAGGATACAAATGAAAAAATTGGTGAAGTTTTGATCCAGTGCACCATCCTTGCCAATATAATTTCTACCATTGTTTCCTTGGTTTGGCATATATCAAGAAACCAATCACCCAATTACAAGGAGATTTCTGCACAGATGAGGGCCATTTAATTTCCTGTTCTTTTCTGTTTTTTTCTTGCAATTACTCTATCTTTCTCTATCCTCCTCTGTTTCTTCATTTCTGTTTCATAATTTTCATGCTGATAAAAAAATCTACAATAATTCTTTATATTGCAATATTGTCTTTTGAATATTGAACTTTATAGATTTAAGTGCTATTTTCTTTTCGATAAGATGATTTCCCTTGTTTTGATATGAAATTCATTGTTATTTAGTTTGTATGCTTGATGGCCTATATATAAAAATATGAAACCAATCTAGAACTTGAGTATTTTTTTTTTGTCAAGTTTATTTGCCTATGTTACTCCTAGGTGGCAGTTAGGCAACCAAGCACTCTTTTGTTGTCTAGAATCACCTATATACCTTGATAACTATGCTTTGGATCTTTTATTTGTCAGATTCCCTTGCCTATTGTCTTTTAGAGATATTGTGGATTCCAAAGATCCCCAAGAATGAAATTAGAGCTAACCCTATTGTCTTTGCATTTTCTATCATACCCAAGTAGAGCAAATGGAACACACTAACCCAGTGGATCAATTTTTCCTTTACACACTGCATTTTCTGATCATTTTCTAATATCATCTTAATAATTGCGGGTCATTCTAGTAATGCAAGTGGATATCTTTTGCAGGATTCAATGTGGAAACAGTGGAATACAAGAACATTAGCTTCACTGTTTGGGATGTTGGTGGCCAGGACAAGGTAGGAGTTTTTATTCTTTGCTTATAGTCCTCCCCCACACAAACTCTCTTTGCATCTTAAGTTCCTGTTAATTAGAGTAGTTAAATTTTTTTAAACTGTTCATCACTTTAAAGAGGTTATAGCTGAGGTTTTATGGCTATATGATAACTAATTGATGTTCTTATTTTTATTTATACAGATCCGTCCATTGTGGAGGCACTATTTCCAAAACACTCAGGGTCTTATTTTTGTGGTGGATAGCAATGACAGAGATCGAGTTGTTGAGGCGAGGGATGAGTTACATAGGATGCTGAATGAGGTACATACTGGTTTTATTCATACTTTTGTTTCTCATAGCATGTTTTTGAAAAGATATTTAAAAAGCAAACATAATTTTGCCTGTTTTTTTTGTTAGAAGTTTTAACCTCTTCATAACCCCAACATCATTTGCTCTATTCCTTTATGACCTTACTTTTAAGTTACCATTAGTCCATAAGGGAATTATTGAGCCTCACAAGGGAGCTGGGTGCACAAGTTTATTGATCTAGGAGGTCAGCAAATGCTTTAGTTGACAACCTAGCAAAACAAGGGGCGAATCGGGGGGTTTTGTTTTGGGCAGTGTTTAAGTTATTTTTTGTTCAGGGGTCACCTTTCACTTTAGAAGGTGACAGTTCTTCTGGTTTTATCTAATGAAAGATACCGTTTCTTATAAAAAAAATCTGAGATATGTGATGTTGTTTTCTTTATAGATGTTTTTCTCAAATTATTAAGTGCAAATGGTCTAGCCTCTGAAACAGTAAAAGTTTCTTATTTCTGTTTTATTAATGCATCTTGTTACATTGTTTCGTTGGCCTTGTCTGCTTGACCTGGTCTTCTTTGTTGTATATTTGTGAAATGCAATCTCATCGAATTTCTTAATGATGTTTCTCATTATTTTTTTTTTATTTTAACTATATCATAGAAGCCAATCAATTGAAATACAATATAATTTTGCATTTCACAAAAGATTGCATTGTTTAGTGGCACAATAATCAAAATGAATAGCATGAAATGAACATACTATCAGAAAAAGTTTCTTGTGCATTTTTTTTCCAGTCATCAGCATGGTTCATGCTGTTGACAAGTTGCATTTTGGCCAAGGTTTTAGTGCAAGGATTGGTAACATGTAATTGGCAGTTGGTAGAATTTGAAAAAAATGCTGCAACAATGTTGTGCCTATTCCAAAGTCGGTCCTTTGTATTTCCTAGGCAAGTAGCACATATTGCTAACATCATAATCTTGATGGATTGTTTGTTTTGTTACCATGACTATAAACCAACTTAGTTCTGAGTCCAATTTCCAGATTTACCATTTGCCTCTGGTTTGCTGTTTCTCTTCCCAAAACATCTTTCTTTTGCTGCACAGTTTCTGTTAGATACATTCTTTGTAGCTCTTAAAATTCTGCTTTATGTTGGCTGCATAGGACAAAAGAGATTGATGCAGAGGACATGAAAAATGGACTGACTCGTATATATTGTTTCAGGATGAGTTGCGAGATGCTGTCTTGCTTGTATTTGCTAACAAACAAGATCTTCCCAATGCAATGAATGCTGCGGAGATTACTGATAAGCTTGGTCTTCACTCTCTCCGTCAACGCCACTGGTAAATTTTCTACTCCTCTCCCTGCAGTAATTTATCTTGAATACTGTAATCTCTTTTTAGTTTATTAGAAGAAAATCCTATTGTTGGATCTAATGTTTTCTGGTGATACTTTTTTCAGGTACATCCAGAGCACTTGTGCAACCTCTGGTGAGGGCCTTTATGAGGGGTTGGAGTGGCTTTCCAACAACATTGCCAACAAGGTTAGTGTTTGAACACATTTCTTGTGTTAACATGAGGTTTTAGTTAAAATATGAACAGAAAAGCCAAACGGAAAGGATTAAATTCAGGACACATTAGGGATGTTAATGTTCATCTTATCAACCAAATTGAGAATATATGGCTTAGGTTTTTGAGACATTGTGTTTCTATCTGTTGTTGGTTGTTCAATCCAAAATTGTCTGCTCTGTCCAACCACTTCTCGTTCTCATTTTCAGGCCTGAAGAAATAGAGGATTGCTGATCGATGGAAGGGCTTTTCTGGATTCAGGCGTAAATATTATCTAGTTCTTTGTTTTTGTTTTCATTCTGAGAAAAGTGGTCATGTGGTTGTACTAATGACTTAAGATCGAAGATCTTTTTTTTCTGTAGGACTTTTGGTATAAATGTTGTAATAGGTGGATGGATGATTGGATATACTTATAAGCTTTTGCCTTGGGTTTGAATATACTGCTTTAGCTAATCCTTTTAGCTGTATCCCAGCAGTGCTGTGCTCTGTTTTTTTCCAGATCAAAGAGGATACTCGCGAGAAGTTGCAATTACACGAGAGAGAGTTTAAACTAGGAGACCAACTGGTTGGTTGAGAAATAAAACGAAAGGAAAACGCACCTTAAGGAATTAGACATGCAGACGTATCTTCTAGCTAGGATATGCACAACACCAATTGTTTGCAAGGGTCTTCCGTCGAAGACTCCAAACCCTGTCCAGACAATAAATACAAAATAACCGCGATGAGAGAGGGATCTCAAGGTATAAAAGATGTCCAAAGGCCCCGTACGGCCATAACATCAAAATAAACCACATCGCAATGCAACCATACTATCGGCAAACGGAAGGGTTCTACCGATCTGCCACACCGCCACGGCAAAAGATGTAGACTCAGCGCAAAAAAAAAACAAGGGGGGGGGGTTACTGTGTTACTAGTATATTAGGAGATGGCCGTAATTAGGGGTGGATTTGTACGAGGCTCGAGTTTGAGTTTGAGTTTGAGTTCGGTTCAAGCCAGAACTTTGAGTTTGAGTTCGGTTCGAGTAAAAAATTTATAAATTCGAGCTCGATTTTGAGAAAAAATATTTTATAAAAAGTAAATATAAAAATATTTTTTATTTGATATTTAAAAATTATAAAA